CTCTACACAACTATAGTACACTCTACACAACTATAGTACACTCTACACTATAGTACACTCTACACACTATAGTACACTCTACACACTATAGTACACTCTACACACTATAGTACACTCACACTATAGTACACTCTACACACTATAGTACACTCTACACACTATAGTACACTCTACACACTATAGTACACTCTACACACTATAGTACACTCTACACACACTATAGTACACTCTACACACTATAGTACACTCTACACAACTATAGTACACTCTACACAACTATAGTACACTCTACACACTATAGTACACTCTACACACTATAGTACACTCTACACACTATAGTACACTCTACACTATAGTACACTCTACACTATAGTACACTCTACACTATAGTACACTCTACACACTATAGTACACTCTACACACTATAGTACACTCTACACACTATAGTACACTCTACACAACTATAGTACACTCTACACAACTATAGTACACTCTACACTATAGTACACTCTACACACTATAGTACACTCTAACTATAGTAATCACACCATGTACACTCACACTATAGTACACTCTACACTATAGTACACTCACACTATAGTACACTCTCTACACACACTATAGTACACTCTACACTATAGTACACTCTACACTATAGTACACTCTACACACTATATAGTACACTCTACACACTATAGTACACTCTACACACTATAGTACACTCTACACACACTATAGTACACTCTACACAACTATAGTACACTCTACACAACTATAGTACACTCACAACTATAGTACACTACACTATAGTACACTCTACACATATAGTACACTCTACACACTATAGTACACTCTACACTATAGTACACTCTACACAACTATAGTACACTCTCTACACTATAGTACACTCTACACACTATAGTAGTACTATAGTACTCTCTACACTATAGTACACTCTACACACTATAGTACACTCTACACACTATAGTACACTCTACACAACTATAGTACACTCTACACAACTATAGTACACTCTACACACTATAGTACACTCTACACACTATAGTACACTCTACAACACTATAGTACACTCTACACACTAATACTACACTACAACTATAGTACACTCTACACAACTATAGTACACTCTACACACTATAGTACACTCTACACACTATAGTACACTCTACACTATAGTACACTCTACACTATAGTACACTCTACACCAGCCATTCCCAAACTCAGTAACACCGAGGCCCCCTTAAAAATCTGTCGGGTCTGCGTGGCCCCCCCAAAATAATAACCAAGAAGACAACATTAAGAATAGGCTCTTCTGGTTATTTTATTTTGGGGAAATAGCCTCTGCTACAAACATTGTAATACAAAAATGATTACAGTGGATTATTCAAGTCAAATAATGAACACAAATATTTTAATATTACAAACAAAACATTATAAATTTAACATTAAATAATTATATTATATTTTTTATTTTTTTTATGACCTCCCGCGGCCCCCCTGCAGTACCCTCGCGGCCCACCAGGGGGCCGCGGACCCCACTTTGGGAGACACTGCTCTACACTATAGTACACTCTACACTATAGTACACTCTACACAACTATAGTACACTCTACACAACTATAGTACACTCTACACACTATAGTACACTCTACACTATAGTACACTCTACACAACTATAGTACACTCTACACAACTATAGTACACTCTACACAACTATAGTACACTCTACACTACTATAGTACACTCTACACAACTATAGTACACTCTACACACTATAGTACACTCTACACACTATAGTACACTCTACACAACTATAGTACACTCTACACAACTATAGTACACTCTACACTATAGTACACTCTACAGTACACTCTACACAACTATAGTACACTCTACACACTATAGTACACTCTACACACTATAGTACACTCTACACACTATAGTACACTCTACACAACTATAGTACACTCTACACAACTATAGTACACTCTACACACTATAGTACACTCTACACACTATAGTACACTCTACACAACTATAGTACACTCTACACACTATAGTACACTCTACACACTATAGTACACTCTACACTATAGTACACTCTACACTATAGTACACTCTACACACTATAGTACACTCTACACACTATAGTACACTCTACACAACTATAGTACACTCTACACAACTATAGTACACTCTACACACTATAGTACACTCTACACACTATAGTACACTCTACACACTATAGTACACTCTACACACTATAGTACACCCTACACAACACTATAGTACACTCTACACACTATAGTACACTCTACACACTATAGTACACTCTACACAACTATAGTACACTCTACACAACTATAGTACACTCTACACTATAGTACACTCTACACTATAGTACACTCTACACTATAGTACACTCTACACTATAGTACACTCTACACACTATAGTACACTCTACACAACTATAGTACACTCTACACTATAGTACACTCTACACTATAGTACACTCTACACTATAGTACACTCTACACTATAGTACACTCTACACACTATAGTACACTCTACACACTATAGTACACTCTACACACTATAGTACACTCTACACAACTATAGTACACTCTACACACTATAGTACACTCTACACAACTATAGTACACTCTACACACTATAGTACACTCTACACAACTATAGTACACTCTACACACTATAGTACACTCTACACAACTATAGTACACTCTACACAACTATAGTACACTCTACACACTATAGTACACTCTACACACTATAGTACACTCTACACACTATAGTACACTCTACACAACTATAGTACACTCTACACTATAGTACACTCTACACACTATAGTACACTCTACACACTATAGTACACTCTACACTATAGTACACTCTACACTATAGTACACTCTACACTATAGTACACTCTACACTATAGTACACTCTACACTATAGTACACTCTACACACTATAGTACACTCTACACAACTATAGTACACTCTACACAACTATAGTACACTCTACACACTATAGTACACTCTACACACTATAGTACACTCTACACAACTATAGTACACTCTACACTATAGTACACTCTACACACTATAGTACACTCTACACACTATAGTACACTCTACACTATAGTACACTCTACACTATAGTACACTCTACACAACTATAGTACACTCTACACACTATAGTACACTCTACACAACTATAGTACACTCTACACCAGGGGTGCCCAAACCTTTTGCTTCCAAGGGCCAAAGTAAAAATTTGCCAGTGGGCCGCGGGCCAAATACACCAATATTATGCATGAAACACAAATAAATGTAGATTTGATCAAGTTCTTTTAAATGCATTAATTATTGTCTATCAGTGCAAATCACAGCTGAATGAATTAAATCAACACAGTCTTAGTGAAGTGGAGGCTCCAGGGAAATATGCAGGTTTGAGGAGACTACAGTACGGAAAGATTCCGGTCGGGTAATCAGGGTCCAGAGGAGCGAGATTTTCTGTCATGGCTTATTTAAAGGTTAAAATCATATAATAAAACCTCAAAAAGAGAACAGAAACATACATTTTGTGTGCACCATGTGCACTTGTATATTGTAAATAGTAACTGTAACTCTATTTTAAATTTAAATTTATTCCTTAGAAGTGTTTTTTATTCTTTTTTTATTATCTCTGTTGCACTGAGCCAAAGCAATTTCCAAGTCTATTTTCATATATTTATTTTGAACAAAAGTTTTTAACTACATTTGAATCATATTACTTTATCTTAGCTTTTATCAAAAAGGGGAGACATCACTGATCAATAGATCTGGTTTTAGCACACTTTTAAACAATACATTTTAACATTAAGTAATGAATTTGGGAACATAATTGCTAACTGCATTTTCTAAACATGATCAGGTTTTAACTCTGTTTTAACATAGGACAAGTATTCTCAATTAGTAGTGAACTGAATATTAAACTAACAAAATCAGACTAGTTAACCATGATTTGTTCCTGGAGTTTGTTTTGTTTTGCCTAAACACAGTACAACATTTATAAACAATCAAAACAAAGTAACTGTTAAAGAGTCCGAGTTTCCGCTCCTCCAAAGGGCTCTTGAACGCATCATAAAACTCAGCGTAAGTTCTGACATTCAATGATCGCGAGTGAGGACGGCGCTTACCGGCTTCTTTCATGGGGTTGTAGAAGGGTTTGTTTTGCACGGTATCTGTTGCTTCTACTTACGTGGATCGTGCGCTGCGATCCCTGCTTGTCCTGCTTGAACTCACTCTGAAGTGTTTGTGTCCGTCCTTTTTAACACACCGGGTGGGTGCGGATTGCGCAGGTGAATAGTTCCACTCACCATTTCCCTCCGGTGAGGAGGGGGAGTGGCAGTTCGCCAGCACAATCCTCTCAATTTGATAAAACATTAAATAGCTCCAAAAAATAATAATAGTAGGCTGAAAAAAAACATAAATGGGCCTTGCACCCAATTGTTTTGAAAGATGTGTTTGATTTTAAAAAACATTTTAGTGCAAGTCGATGTGAACCATGATTGAGGAGTGTATCTCGATACAACACTTAAGTACTGGACAGTCGTAATTCAGAGGGCGACTATGCGCCCGCGCAACCTCAGACATGTCACTGTTAATTCAGCGAGGCTGAGGGACGCAGATAGAAACTTATAGCGGAGGTGGGCAATGTTTGGCGGGCCAACTGAAATGGTCTGGCGGGCCAACTTTGGCCCGCGGGCCCCACTTTGGGCACCCCTGCTCTACACTATAGTACATCCTACACTATAGTACATACTACACTATAGTACATACTACACTATAGTACACTCTACACTGTTATAGTACACACACACACACACTCATAGACACACACACACACACACTCATAGACACAAACACACTTTCTTTGGCCACCGCAGACTAAACAGTGTGTGTGAGACAGACGCAGTAATGAGGTTCAAACTAAGAAGCCAGACGTACGTAAACAATAGAACCCACGAGGCGCTATGGCAACGACAGCAACAGGAAGCACAGGAGGACAATCTTCATCTGTGTCTGTACCGTCCGCCCACACGCCGCCACACGCCGCCACACGCCGCCGCCACACGCCGCCGCAGCATCGGGACGTTTTCCTGTTTGATGTGGGCCGCAACTTTTGGAGCTCGGAATAATGTGAGAATGTGAAAGAAGCAGAATGAAACTGGGACTGAGGAGAGATTCTGCGAACAGAGATATTATTTTCATTTCCTGAATTTGATTTTCTAATCTCTAATCTCTAATGAAGTCTTATCAGGGTTTCTTTGGTTGGTGCATAATTACAAACGATTCTGAGGAGATTTCTGATGATATCTCTCAATTCAGCTCAGTTTATCAATTACATCCACATCTGCGGAGAAAGATCCTGTCAGACCTCTAGAGCTACGCAGGACAGGGCCTGGTTAGTGCTGTGATGGGAGACCTCTGGGAACAGCAGGTGCCACAGTGGGGCGGCTGCGGCTGTAAAGTGCCAAACTGTGGTTGTGTCCTTAGGCAAGACACTTTACCCCCATTGACTAGAATGAGTCTGGTGTGTGTGTGAGTGGTTGGTGGTGGTGGGAGGGGCCGATGGCACAGACTGGTTGCCTCGCCTCTGTCAGTGTGCCCCAGGGCAGCTGTGGCTACAGTAGTTTATCACCACTGTGTTTGGAGAGAGAGGATAATGATGTAAAGTGTTGAGTCTTCTATAAAACCATGCATTATTATTACATCATAAACTGTGTACTGCTGCACAGTGCTAGCTCAATGAAGTGCTCATGGACAAAGTTTTGCTTCAATTCTCTCTTTCTCCCATTGACTTCCATGTAAACATAAACTCCTCAGTTTGTGTCACACTTGCCTTTTTGGGCTGAAAAAAGGCCTTTTTGGTGTTCGCTGTGATCCTGTTTAATTATTTTGATTTTGTCTTTATAAATCCTCAGATAAGGAATCACCAATTCTTATAACAATGACACAGATAACTGTTATCTACTGAGCAGACTGCATGTGGTCTGTTTTGTTGACAACATTTTACTTTTGTGAGACTCTTTCTGGAACAGCATCTAGTATTCATGAACACAAAGTGAGGTAACCGAGCTTTAATCACAGCTCCTGCTTAAAGACCTTAAAGGCTGTAGACCCAGGACTGAGGCTGTAGACCCAGGACTGAGGCTGTAGACCCAGGACTGAGGCTGTAGACCCAGGACTGAGGCTGTAGACCCAGGACTGAGGCTGTAGACCAGGCTGAGGCTGTAGACCCAGGACTGAGGCTGTAGACCCAGGACTGAGGCTGTAGACCCAGGACTGAGGCTGTAGACCCAGGACTGAGGCTGTAGACCCAGGACTGAGGCTGTAGACCCAGGACTGAGGCTGTAGACCCAGGACTGAGACTGTAGACCCAGGACTGAGGCTGTAGACCCAGGACTGAGGCTGTAGACCCAGGACTGAGGCTGTAGACCCAGGACTGAGACTGTAGACCCAGGACTGAGGCTGTAGACCCAGGACTGAGACTGTAGACCCAGGACTGAGACTGTAGACCCAGGACTGAGGCTGTAGACCCAGGACTGAGGCTGTAGACCCAGGACTGAGGCTGTAGACCCAGGACTGAGACTGTAGACCCAGGACTGAGACTGTAGACCCAGGACTGAGGCTGTAGACCCAGGACTGAGGCTGTAGACCCAGGACTGAGACTGTAGACCCAGGACTGAGGCTGTAGACCCAGGACCGAGACTGTAGACCCAGGACTGAGGCTGTAGACCCAGGACTGAGACTGTAGACCCAGGACTGAGGCTGTAGACCCAGGACTGAGACTGTAGACCCAGGACTGAGGCTGTAGACCCAGGACTGAGGCTGTAGACCCAGGACTGAGGCTGTAGACCCAGGACTGAGGCTGTAGACCCAGGACTGAGGCTGTAGAATGTCTTGATTGGAGTCTGACTTCTCTCCTGATTAATGAGGTGCCGCCTACTGCTTCTGGTCTTTGTGCGCGAGTTGAATTCCCGCTGCTGTGAAAAGCCTCCCCGGCCGTCGTCTGCGGAGATCTTCATTTTCTGTGTGAATGATTGGCGACCGCAGGGCTTTTGATTTCCATGTGGCAAAAGAAATGAAAGGTTTTGTGATTTGAAGAAAAGACAGGGTCCAAAAGGCACTAATACCGGAGGAGACAGGGATGGAATATCAAAGTAGTGGATACGAAGGAGGGAGATGTAGAGAGACTTATACGGACAATAAACAGCCAAGTCCTCGTTACTGAGGACCAGGGGTGTGACCATCACCACACATGGTAGTTTAGCACCATCGTGTGTACCCTGGTCTCGTTCTCTCAGGTCCATCATCATGTCCTGCTGTAACGTCTGGGTCTGGTCCCTGTGTCTGTGAATACAATCTGTTGAATTCCATCCGACCAATCAGAGAGCGCGGGAGGCGGGTGTTGTAGTTAGATGTCGGTGACGTCAAGAGTTTGTGCTGAACGGGAAGGTTGTAGTTTGGAGAAGAATGTGATAGTAAAGTAATCTGGTCTGGTTCTATCAAGAAACTGAAACTGGAGCAAGAGGAATGTTTAGCAAATGAAATCTCTGGGAAAGATTTTGGCGCTACTCCCCACGGGCTCCGTTAGCGGCAAAGGAGATGGCTAAAGCTAGTCTAAATGCTAAATGCTAAAGCTAGGCTAAATGCTAACAACACACTCGGGCTCATTACACAGTACACGTCACAGTAAACTCAGATCCAATGGTTTCAATCTGCAAAAGGAGTTAGCCCCTCCCACCTGTTGCTGAGTAATAACATGTGAAGGATCTCCGTGTGTCCAGAAAGGCGCTGTTATCAACATTATGAACTAAGGATGCACTGACAACACTGTATTCAAAACCGATACCGAGTACTTTCATATGAGTACTTGCCGTTACAAGTACTGCATTGTTTTATCTCTGGGAATTCATCAAAGTAATAAAACTGAAATTAAAAAATATTTCTAATTTCAACAATAAGAAAATGCTTTAACAAATAAACATTTTAGTGATTTCTTTAACATCAGCATTAAGAGCCACTGTCATGTTCCTCTCACACATGTATTCAGCATATTTATGTTCACGCTGTTTGCAGACACAGTGGTTCATATGTACGGTCCTGAGTTCATTAAATAGGTAAAAGCTATAGCTCCGGTGCTAGCAAAGGTTGCTCTGTGCGGTGATATTATTATAGATCTGTGAGTTTTATTAAGTTTCTGATGTTATATGTGTTTTTAGACTCACCTCGTGACAGTTTTACACCTTGTACAGTCTGCTTTACTCTTGTCACTCTTGTTTAGTTAAAACAAAACTACCATACGGCCGACATCTTGTCCGCTTGCTGCTAGCTTGCTTGTCGGTAGCTTAAGCCTGGTTCACACGAGACAATTTTAAAATTGTCGGCCAATTTTTTTCTCTGTGTGAGACCCCACACACGGAGCTAAAAGATCATGGGTCGTACAGTGTGTGGTGCAGCCACTCGGCAAGATCACACAAACCACACACATCACACACAAACCACACACATCACACACAAACCACACACATCACACACAAACCACACACATCACACACAAACCACACACATCACACACAAACCACACACATCACACACAAACCGATTCCCCCGAGCATTCACAGGTCAGACGGAAATCTCACAAAATCTCTCGAGATCAAGCGTGACTTCAGAGTAAACAATCATGGCGGACAAAGAGGAGGCAGCGGCGATAGTTTGTTTTTATCTGAGAAAAGACGTGATCAAAGAAAAGGCGACGGTCAAAGAAGTGCAGACGACACGAGCTCGGACGATACTCGCTTCATCGTGATCTGGAGGAGAGTGGTTTTTTACAGTGTTTCCTCGTCTCGTCTTCTGATTGGCTACACGCCGCAGTCATGGCAACGTGCTCGTCTGTCCCCGACACCACACACGAAGAGAAATCGGGCCAAAACAATCCAACATGTTGGATATTCGGAGCGTTCTTACGATTGTCGTTTGGGTAAATTGGGTCCAAATTCGGCCCAATTATTCTGCCGTGTGAACCAGGCTTTACTTTCTCGCTGCAGGAGATCACCATGGCAACACAGCTGTCCGCAGTCGTGACGCTAAAATGTAAATGAATGAATTTAAATAAGAAATGTGGGTTTCGGTTTCCGGGATCAGAGTCGGTTCTGGTGCATCCCGACCTTAAAGGACAACTCAAATCCACTTTTTTTTGCTGATAAACGATTTAAATGAGTGTCCAATAGTGTTGTCTACATATCCTGGTCATAGTTTTTTCACTTTGGTGCAAATTAGTTGAAAGTTAAACTTTCTGCCTAAAACCGTCTGTGAGGCGCCATCTGCTGGCGACCTGTATTACTACATTTGAATTTTGAATCTGGCGCCAACACTGGCACAGAAGTTGGGCCTGACGTCAGCAGCCCCCCGCCCAGAGCAATGTAAACGGCCCAGTCTCGTTCACGCCCCCTTTAGTCCTCCAGGCCACGCCCATTTAGAGGAAGATTTGAACAGGAAATGTGAGTGACGTAAGCTCCGAGGACCGGGGGTGAGAACCACTTTAAACCCGTCACAGCAGTTTTCTGGTTGTACGCGTTGAGACGAAGGTCTATAGTTCTCAGATCTGCTGTTGCATGCTGGGACGTGGACTCAGACGTGGTGTGTGTGTTTTGCAGATAACTCGGCCGACATCGTGGTGAAGCAGGGCCCCTTCAGTCTGGACGACTCCCGGGACTACAGTGTGTATGTGCGGGTGGGGGACGGGGGCCAGTCCCTGCTCACCAGCGTCACCCAGGTCTCCATCAAGGTCAGTGTCCAGCAGCGCGTTCATTTCACAGATACAGAGATTAGAGATTAGAGATTAGAGATTAGAGATGTGCAGTAAAACCACACACTGTGAAAAGGATCAAATATGAGGTAAAAATGGTTTGAATCCAGTGGTTTTTATCTTTTTATCTGACACGTTCTGAGTCTTTACCCTCTCAGGCCCAAATGAATCTAAATGACAAGAACAAATCTGATATTTGGCAAAAATTATCATCTGGGTTAGTATTATACAATCCTGACATTTTTTATTGAGACCTTCACGGGCAATGCATTCTGGGATGTTGCAGATTTGCAACATTGGCCTGCTGTGGATAGAGCTGAGCCGAGTGAGATTGATTTGAAATTGACGTCGAGAAAGTGAAAGAATTATGGGTCTGGAAGAGTTAGGTAAGAAATGAAGTTGTTGCAAATCTGCAACGTCTGCCTGGAGAGGGTTAAGTCAGTTAGTCTGATTAAAGAACTTTAGTTCCTCATTCAAAGGGAGATATTGCTGTATCTTTGTAAAACATGATGATTTTACTTTGTCCTGTTGGAGAATCTAGTTCAAGGTTCATTTTGCAAATTTAAGCAATTTTTGTGTTTTTCATCACTTTTTGCAGAGATACATGTGCGAAAGTATCCAGTACAAAAACAAAACACTTTAGAAAGTCCAGGAAAGAGCTTTGTTCAGACTGAAACACACGTCTCCCTTGGGTCTGGTTTGGCACAGACTGGCAAAGGATGTCCTCGGCCAGACCCATAGAACCAAACCTTAAAGCCACTGTCCCTGATTTCCTGGTAACATGTGGAGCTGCAGACAGTCCACAGCTCCTGGGGACAAACCACAACAAAGTGTGATTTGTATAAATCTAACTATTTTATTTATAGTTAGATTTATGAATAAAATAGACTTGAAAAAAATCATCCAAAAAGATCCTGTCTGTCAGATGACCAGGACCAGGACCAGGTAGTACCAGAACCAGGACCAGGAACCAGGTAGCACCAGGACCAGGACCAGGACCAGTGCCAGGACCAGGACCAGGACCAGGACCAGTGCCAGGACCAGGACCAGGACCAGGACCAGGACCAGGACCAGTGCCAGGACCAGGACCAGGACCAGGACCAGGTGGCATTAGTCTCCTGGAGATGGAGAAGTATAAATAACAGACTAATATTTACAGAGCTCTGCACAGGCCAATATTTGGACACACACACACACACACAGGCACACACACACACACACAGAGACACACACACACACACACACAGAGACACACACACATACACGCAGAGACATACACACAGACACACACACACTCACACACAGAGAGACACACACACACACACACAGAGACACACACACAGAGACACACACACATACACACAGACACACACACACACACACACAGAGACACACACACATACACGCAGAGACATACACACAGACACACACACACTCACACACAGAGAGACACACACACACACACACACAGAGACAAACACACACTCTCACACACACACACACACCCACACACAGACACACACACACACAGAGAGACAGAGCACAGAAGTGAGCATAGGACACACCACACCACAGGGTCTGGTCCTCAGGTCTAAGTCTAGGGTCTTGACTGGGACCGGTCCTCAGGTCTAAGTCCAGGGTCCAGACTGGGACCGGTCCTCAGGTCTAAGTCCAGGGCAGGGCAGACCTGGCTTCATGACACACTGCAGCAGGATGCCTCAGGGCAGACGTGGCTTCATGACACACTGCAGCAGGATGCCTCAGGGCAGACGTGGCTTCATGACACACTGCAGCAGGATGCCTCAGGGCAGACGTGGCTTCATGACACACTGCAGCAGGATGCCTCAGGGCAGACGTGGCTTCCTGTTCCATCTAATTAAATGTGTGTTCGTGTTGCAGGCGTGTCGCTGTGACGCCCGCAGGGTGCCCACCCAGTGTAAGGTGTCCGCTCGCAGGATGGGCGTCAGCGTGCACGCCCTCATCGCTATCCTGCTCTGCATCCTCACCATCCTAGGTAACACAAACCTGTTATTTTATCTAGGATGTTTTCTGTTCGAGCGCTTTGGTTTTCAGCTCCTCCTGAACCGGATCTTCTTCTTGTCTGAGTTTCTTTTACATTATCAATTCTTTAGACCAAGCTATTTCTTTGTCTCGAGCTTCAGACTGTTCTGAATAAGATGAGGATGTTTGGACTGGACCAGAACCGGACCTTTCAGTTTAACAAACCTGACATTACTGACTGCATCCTGTGCAAATGTGTAAATACAGAAAATAAAGAGAATCATTTTTAAGGTCAGGATAAATAAAGGTTTACTATGTGCAATACCCCTGAACACCTCTAGGGGTCTGCTTCAGGGGGATTCAAACCCAGCTCAAGGAAAACGTGTTCATCACTTTTCCACAATTTTGTTCCAAACCTTTGTTTTCAGAATCAGCAAAAATCAAAGTCTAGAAGTTACTGAAACTCTGAGAGAATTGAAATCATCACATTACTTTGTAAAAATACTTTCTGTTGGAGGATGGAGTCCACTCAGAAAAGTCCTGTTCTGACCCGGATTCAAACCTCAGAGGGACATTTACTTCTGCTTTATCCGTTGCCGGGTGGTGGAGGCAGCAGTCTGAGCAGGACACAGACTTCCCTCTCACACTTCTCCAGCTCATCTGGGGGAATCCTGAGGCGTTCCCAGAGACACAATCCTCTGGGTCCTGGGTCTCCTCCTGGTCTCCTCCTGATCTCCTCCTGGTCTCCTCCTGGTCTCCTCCTGATCTCCTCCTGGTCTCCTCCTGGTCTCCTCCTGATCTCCTCCTGGTCTCCTCCTGGTCTCCTCCTGGTCTCCTCCTGGTCTCCTCCTGGTCTCCTCCTGGTCCTCCTCCTGGTCTCCTCCTGGTCTCCTCCTGGTCTCCTCCTGGTCCTCCTCCTGGTCTCCTCCTGGTCCTCCTCCTGGTCTCCTCCTAGTCTTCCCCTGGTGGGACATGCCCAGAACACCACCTAAGGGAGAAGACTAGGAGGAGACCAGGAGGAGACCAGGAGGAGTCCCAAACAGATGAGCCATCTCCACTGGCTCCTCTGCACATGGAGGAGCAGCGGCTCTACTCTGAGCTCCAGTCTGCAGAGGAAGCTCATGTGGAGCTTGTATCTCGTCCTCTCTGTTATTTCCCAAAGCCTGGAGAGACGGAGACTGCATCAGAATAATATTATCATTATTATAAGCCGTTAACCTCAGCAGACACATGTAAACATTACACTGAACCACGGCAGCGACTCTTTACCAACGACATCAGCTCAAATCCAGGAAGAGCAACAATAAGAGCCGTGGGTCAAAGGGCGCGGGACGACCACTGACTATAAATGTCCCGGACCCTCGTGGCCCTTAGCTCCTCCTGCGTCAGAATCTACAGCACTGGAACTTTAGGTCAGACGATGCCAACAAAACACTTTTCTATATTCTGCTCTTTAAACTGAACCGTTTCCATGGTTACACACAAGCCCTGAACGCCGGTGAGAGTGACTGATACATTTTGCGATAGAGGAGAATGATATTAGGCGCTCTTCTCTTCAGAACGGCTATAAATATGGTTTGTGTTTTCGCCTGAACTTTTTTGGCTCCTGGTGTTGTTAGCGGAATGAATAATGCAGCAGCGGATGTGGGAATAAAGCCTCGGGTCGTGGGCTCGGCTTCGCTTTGATTCCGCACCTTGGCCCCGTCGTGCTGCTCCGGCTTATGGCGAAGACGGAAAAAATAGAATCCGTCATCCCCGAGGCGATAAACACGTAAATGGAAACCGCAGGTCAGAGTGGGATCAATTAACGACACAGGGAAAAGAGAGAGACTTAAGAGGAAGGAGAGAGGGAGAGTTTAGCGCTTCAGTAACGGTTGCATTTTAACCATAGACTGTAGATATTAACGTAGTCACTTCTATCTCCGTCGTCCAAACTAATGTGTTTCAAAATGGCCGCCAAGGCTGGAAAAGAATGAACCAAACCAATATTGCTTCGTTGAATTCACATCAGAATTCACTCAAAAACATTGTTACAATCAGCAGCAAGACTCACTCACAGACATTTATAATAACACAGATTTAAGGAAAGGCTCAGATCTCCACAGACAGATGTCTCACTCTGCTCCCATCAGGGCGTAGGTTCAGGTCCCTCCCGTTCAGAACACAAAGGGCCACATCCAGATTCCTCCTGTACACTGGTCTTATCTCGGACTCTCAGGTCCAGCATCATGTCCTGCTGTAACGTCTGGCTCTGGTCCCTGTGTCTGTGAATACAATCGGTTGAATTCCATCCGACCAATCAGAGAGCGCGGGAGGCGGGTGTTGTAGTTAGATGTGGGTGACGTCAAGAGTTTGTGCTGAACGAGCAGGTCGTAGTTTGGAGAAGAATGCGACAGTAAATTATTCTGTTCTGGTTCAATCCAAATATCAAGAAACTGAAGCCGGAGCAAGAGGAATGTTTAGTAAATGTCATTGAAGCAAAGATGTTGTGGCGCAACTCCCCACGGGCTTCGTTAGCGGCAAAAGAGATGCTAAAGCTAGTCTAAATGCTAAATGCTAAAGCTAGGCTAAAGGCTAAATGCTAACAACAGACTCAGGCTCATTACATACGTCACAGGAAACTCAGATCCAATGGTTTCAATCTGCAAAAGGAGTTAGCCCCTCCCACCTGTTCACGGAGTCAATGGAGACAATCCAGACCTTAGTATGAAATGAAATAGTACTGTGGTGTGATAAGACCAGGATATTTCACATCCACAGCGTATTTTTGTAAGTAAGTAAGTAAGTAATCTTTATTTATATACCGCCTTTCACAGACCAGAGTCACAAAGCGGTTTACAATTGTTATTTTTGGGCATTTGTCTCTCTCTCCACACCGAGATGGGAGCGGGGGCACCAGTACAGGAGGCGCATGCCAGAACTATTGGACATATTTTTAGTGGTAGGGGAAACCGGAGTACCCGGAGGAAACCTACGCAGACACGGGGAGAACATGCAAACTCCACTCAGAAAGGCCCTGGTCCGGCCGGGATTCGAACCCAGGACCTTCTTGCTGAGAGGCGAGAGTGCTATCCACTCAGCCACCGTGCCGCCCGATTTTTGGAGTAACTTGGCGAGATTAGAATTGAAGAAAAAGTGGTACAGGTCTGATTAATTATATAAACATGTTTTATTTGTCTTATTTCACACTTTTCAGCTCTGCCTTTTCCAAACAAACTAAATATCAAAACAAATCTATGAAAAGTACCCATGTGGGGGGGGGGGGGGGGGGGGCCGAGAGCAGAGCCACGTCAGGGACAGCTCAGACAGATGAAGGATTATTTATCTGTGTGTAAAGAGGAATCCTGTCAGACTCTGACCTTTCTGGAGCGGTGCGCACAAACAAACTGTTGATTTCAGTAAAAATACATGTTTTTCTGCAGATGTCAGACTCCACCTCAGTTATTGTTGTTCCCTGCAAAGGATTCTGGGACATCGTGTTTACCTCGGCTTCAGGAATCACATGTTTGTTTGTTTGGGCTCAGTGCAGATGGATCCATGAGAGATTCTTACTCAGACGCTTTGGTCGTGCAGTCATTTACCTTTTTAATCTTACTTGTTTAGCAATAATACACTTATTTACACTTAATTACACTTATTTACACTGTTCATAATTCTTTGCATTTCTGTCAAGAATCAAATCGAGTTAGAGCCGTAACTTCAGCAGAAAATCTCTGTCGTTCAGATCAGAGTGATCTGTGTCAGTCTGTGTTAGAGGGAGCAGCGTCTGCAGTCAGAGCTCTATCAGACTGTGTTAGAGGGAGCAGCGTCTGCAGTCAGAGCTGTATCAGACTGTGTTAGAGGGAGCAGCGTCTGTAGTCAGAGCTCTATCAGACTGTGTTAGAGGGAGCAGCGTCTGTAGTCAGAGCTCCCTCACCTCTGGTCATGAGCTTTGGGTAATGACCAAAAGTAAAAGATCACGGATACAAGCGTCAAAATGATCTTCCTCCGCAGAGTGGCTGCTCCCTTAGAGAAGGAGGAGCTCAGTCACACGGGAGGAGCTCGGAGTAGAGCCGATGCTCCTCTACGTGGCGAGGAGCCTGTTCGGATGCTTCCTGGTTTCTTCTCTGGGGACGAGCCAGGACACGGAGGGACTGACGCCTCAGGATTCCCCCAGATGAGCCGGAGAAACAGAAGAAAACCCTGGAGCTTTAGTGTCACTTTGGTTAAAGCCTTTTCTGTTTTTCTGTTTCTGAAAACGTACAACTTTACTTTCTGGACTAACCCACCAGCTGCTGCACATATAAGCCTCACTGGAACAAGAGCTGCAGGTTTTCATGTTTAGTGCAGCGGAGAGACGAGGTGGAGGGGTTTTCTACGCCTCCTTCACCTTCTTCACCTCCTTCACCTCCTTCACCTTCTTCACCTCCTTCACCTCCTTCACCTCCTTCACCTTCTTCACCTCCTTCACCTCCTTCACCTCCTTCACCTCCTTCACCTTCTTCACCTCCTTCACCTCCTTCACCTCCTTCACCTCCTTCACCTCCTTCACCTCCTTCACCTCCTTCACCTCCTTCACCTCCTTCACCTCCTTCACCTCCTTCACCTTCTTCACCTCCTTCACCTCCTTCACCTCCTTCACCTCCTTCACCTCCTTCACCTCCTTCACCTCCTTCACCTTCTTCACCTCCTTCACCTCCTTCACCTCCTTCACCTCCTTCACCTCCTTCACCTTCTTCACCTCCTTCACCTCCTTCACCTCCTTCACCTCCTTCAACTTCTTCACCTCCTTCACCTTCTTCACCTCCTTCACCTCCTTCACCTCCTTCACCTCCTTCACCTCCTTCACCTCCTTCACCTCCTTCACCTCCTTCACCTCCTTCACCTCCTTCACCTCCTTCAACTTCTTCACCTCCTTCACCTTCTTCACCTCCTTCACCTCCTTCACCTCCTTCACCTTCTTCACCTCCTTCACCTTCTTCACCTCCTTCACCTCCTTCACCTCCTTCACCTCCTTCACCTTCTTCACCTCCTTCACCTTCTTCACCTCCTTCACCTTCTTCACCTCCTTCACCTCCTTCACCTCCTTCACCTCCTTCACCTCCTTCACCTTCTTCACCTCCTTCACCTCCTTCACCTCATTCACCTCCTTCACCTCCTTCACCTCCTTCACCTCCTTCACCTTCTTCACCTCCTTCACCTTCTTCACCTCCTTCACCTCCTTCACCTCCTTCACCTCCTTCACCTTCTTCACCTCCTTCACTCCTTCACCTCCTTCACCTCCTTCACCTCCTTCACCTCCTTCACCTTCTTCACCTCCTTCACCTTCTTCACCTTCTTCACCTTCTTCACCTCCTTCACCTTCTTCACCTCCTTCACCCCTTCACCTCCTTCACCTCCTTCACCTCCTTCACCTTCTTCACCTCCTTCACCTCCTTCACCTCCTTCACCTCCTTCACCTCCTTCACCTCCTTCACCTCCTTCACCTCCTTCACCTCCTTCACCTCCTTCACCTTCTTCACCTCCTTCACCTCCTTCACCTTCTTCACCTTCTTCACCTCCTTCACCTCCTTCACCTCCTTCACCTTCTTCACCTCCTTCACCTTCTTCACCTCCTTCACCTTCTTCACCTCCTTCACCTCCTTCACCTCCTTCACCTCTTTCACCTCCTTCACCTCCTTCACCTTCTTCACCTCCTTCACCTCCTTCACCTCCTTCAGCTTCCTTCACCTCCTTCACCTCCTTCACCTTCTTCACCTCCTTCACCTCCTTCACCTCCTTCACCTTCTTCACCTCCTTCACCTCCTTCACCTCCTTCACCTCCTTCACCTTCTTCACCTCCTTCACCTCCTTCACCTCCTTCACCTCCTTTCACCTCCTTCACCTCCTTCACCTCCTTCACCTTCTTCACCTCCTTCACCTCCTTCACCTCCTTCACCTCCTTCACCTTCTTCACCTCCTTCACTCCTTCACCTTCTTCACCTCCTTCACCTCCTTCACCTCCTTCACCTTCTTCACCTCCTTCACCTCCTTCACCTTCTTCACCTTCTTCACCTTCTTCACCTCCTTCACTCCTTCACCTCCTTCACCTTCTTCACCTCCTTCACCTCCTTCACCTCCTTCACTCCTTCACCTCCTTCACCTTCTTCACCTCCTTCACCTCCTTCACCTCCTTCACCTCCTTCACCTTCTTCACCTCCTTCACCTCCTTCACCTCCTTCACCTCCTTCACCTTCTTCACCTCCTTCACCTCCTTCACCTTCTTCACCTTCTTCACCTTCTTCACCTCCTTCACCTCCTTCACCTCCTTCACCTTCTTCACCTCCTTCACCTTCTTCACCTCCTTCACCTTCTTCACCTCCTTCACCTCCTTCACCTCCTTCACCTCTTTCACCTTCTTCACCTCCTTCACCTCCTTCACCTTCTTCACCTTCTTCACCTCCTTCACCTCCTTCACCTCCTTCACCTCCTTCAGCTTCCTTCACCTCCTTCACCTTCTTCACCTTCTTCACCTCCTTCACCTTCTTCACCTCCTTCACCTTCTTCACCTCCTTCACCTCCTTCACCTCCTTCACCTTCTTCACCTCCTTCACCTTCTTCACCTCCTTCAACTTCTTCACCTCCTTCACCTCCTTCACCTCCTTCAACTTCGACGTAGCATCTCAGTCTGAAAATGACAGTATTTTAGCTGAAATTCAGAAATAAAAGGTTTTCTAATCTTTTATCTTCTCTCGACTCTGTGAAACATCTAACCTCTGCTTCTCTACGTTAAAAACCACAGAGCTCATCGTGCTAAACTAGCGCGCTAATGCTAGCGCGCTAATGCTAGCCTCTCTCTCTGCAGAATGTGGGAACGGCCTCTCGCTCTAATGAGACGTTTATCTTATCGAGCCGCTCCAAACATTATTAAGTATTAATACTCGGCACTATCTCGCCCTCTCCCTCTGGGCCGGCCCACTTTATCACGCACCTCCAACACGGGACAGATTAACTATTTAACACAGACGCCATTATCTAGCACGGCCCAGGGCAATTTAGCGCGCACATTTTCTCACACGGACTGGAATTGGACATGCTAAAGGAAGCCGTGCTCCGGTCGCCGAAGAGAAAGACGCTGGTGTTTTTTGCGGCTGATATGGCGTTAGCTTGTTAACGTCGGGAGCATGTGTTGTGAAAGATTAAAGCGGCCGGTTTCCCAGGCTTCGGTGGGAGCGAGCGCCTTGGCTAACGCGGCGTATGCTAACAGGCATGGCTAATGGGAGGTTCACGGCAGGACAAGGGCCGTGTCCAAAATGTCCTTGAAAGACTCCTTTACTCTGAGTTCAGCCTCTTCTTCTCTGACTTTATCACAGACTGTTTCTTCTTCTTCTTTTCAAACAGGATCAGAATGTTTTATTGATATTATGAGTAACAGGAAGTCACACTCTCGGGAAATAATTTGGCTTTAGGCGCAAACAAGCTACAAAAGTAAAAAATAGATCTAGGCCCGAAAAGAACCTTCTTTGTTGCTTAAATGTAGTTTGTCATGAGATTATTTTACTAGTTTAATAACTAGAGAATAATTCTTATTAATCTTTATGAGTTTTTAGGCTTGTTAAAAGTATTTGTTTCTTATTTTCAGAATGTTCTTGTTCAGATAAAATAATTTGGCGATTCTGTAGTTTAAGAAAAGATCAAAAAAATTGTTTAAATAATTAAATAATACTTGAAATGTTTTTAAACTAGAATCAAGTCGTTTGGGGCTAGTTTTATTTTATTTTAAGTCATTTTCCTTGTTCTATTTTCAGATCATTTTTAATTATTTTAAGCAGTTTTTTACTTAATAAGTAATTTTCAGATATTTATCGATTTTCAAGGGATTTTTATCCAGTGTGAATCTGTTTCCACACATTCCAGTCACCGCCGCATTTTTAAGCTTTCGGGAAAAAAGCGTCGGTGAGAGTGAGTCAGTCCAGACCAGAACAGGCCGGACCAGAACAGCCCAAACCAGAACAGGCCGGACCAGAACAGGCCAGACCAGAACAGGCCGGACCAGAACAGGCCAGACCAGAACAGGCCGGACCAGAACAGGCCAGACCAGAACAGGCCAGACCAGAACAGGCCAAACCAGAACAGGCCAAACCAGA